CTCAACTACTATTCTGTTCATTTGGCCAGTCCGTAAATAACATGACAAAGAGGAGGAGAACTGCCTTAAGAAAGGCATCTCTGCATAGTTTGACATTTGATAGTAACTTCCTTGCTTGAACAGAATCCCTGTGTGAGAGTGAAATGAAGCTTCCTGGGTAACTCTTGGGGAAGGAAGACCTCGCAGAATGGAGAATGGAGAGCTCTACAGAAAACACAAACTTTGTAGAAAAACTACTGAGGATGAAGGCAAAAGCATGGAATTTGTCAGATTAAGAGAAATCTAAAAAACAATTTATTAACACAACCAGTCTATGTAACTATATTTTCCACCTCTAAAACATACATAGGATAAAGATTTTATGGGAGAAAATGTAATGCTTTAGTCTATTTTCTGTTGCTATAATAGAATACCTACTTTAAGCTAACTTATAGAACAAAGAAGTCTAAGTAGCTCATGGTTTTTATGGGTGATGATTGAGGAGCAGAAAGCCAGCATCTGCCTGGCTTCTGATGAGGACCGGGATGCATCCCACCACACAGAAAAGCAGAAGAGTAAACGGGAGGAACAAAACCTATGGAGTGGCCCCACTTTATTAGTTCCTGCTGTCATAACTGATCCAGCCATAGGACAGCTACAAAACTACGGCAATTTCTCAACACTGTTACATGAAGGAACAAACATCAAAGAAGTGCTGGAAATTAAGTGGGGTATCTCACACACGCTGGGGAAACACTCAACCACTGAGGTCATCAACCAGACCTATAAATACTAAGTGTGTAAAATGTCATTCAGGATAACTGAATGGCCTGAGAAGTCAGCACAGTTTTGTTCACAAGCAATTTCACAAAAAGTCACAATTAATTAATAGTTGTAATCTCCACTGAGAAATAGAATAGTACCACATAAATACAGATGCATGGATGTAGATATATGTACATATAACGTGTGTATGTTGTAATTCAAAATATTAAATTAAGGACATAATGAACAGTCATGCATGCAGCAGCTAGTAAGGAGAACACAAGCAACCACTAGTAATGATAGAATGAACTTTTGAAAATTTTACCTACTAATAGTAGTTTTCAAGTAAGACACCAAACCATAAGCAGTAGGTCAGTTTCATAGACATCTGGATCCTATCCTCTAGGTTTAATTATATTAAATTATATTTCATGAAGTTAATTTCTGTACTCTTATTTATGTTATTGATGAAAACATTTGTAGAAAAAAGACTATCTAAAAAGGGACAGGAATGCCTGCCAAGGTAGCATTTAAATCAATAATTCAGTTTGAACTATTATGATGTTCAGTTTTATTCAGCTCAACAACTTTTTATTGCATGCCCACATGGTAGGATAATGTAGGAAATTCCAAAATGATACATCATGGTCCCTGACTTTAGGATTTGTAGGTCTCCTTTAACAAATTTGACAAGTAACATGCAAAAATGGAAGAAAATTAAAAGAGCTGGACAAATCCATTCAAGAAAGCATTGAGACAGTACTTCCTCCCATGTGGGGTGTCACTGGAGATCAACCTGTAAAGAAAGTGGAAGATGAGTGGATGGAGGAGAATTAGAGAAGGAAGAGGAAGAGAAATATCAGGAAGATAGGACACATGGTACCCACTAAAGGAACACTGGTGACAAAGCGAGAGAATGTTAGGGCTGGGGTGGGCAGTGTCTGAGGACGCAGGGTCATTGTGCAGAGGTCCATGAGTAAAGGGACTGTTTTCATGAAGTAGGGAAGCAGCTGAAGACTTTAGATCTTATGATAATGTCTGTAGACCAATGCATCCATCTTTAAGAACATACTATTTCTGCGATAGAAAAAAATGGAGTCAAAAGTAATTTTAAAACATGTATTTTCTACATTCCCTCATGGGAATATTTGCTTCTTATATAGAGAAAGAAAACTAATTGTTAATATCTAACTTCACCCAGATTTATTCTCAAGCACATTCTCCTTAATGAGAAATGACAAGATCTATTACTGAAGATCAAATATAACAAAATGGGCACATTTTTCTGATTATAATAATTCCCAACCTCCACACAGTCATCCATGAACACAAAAACCTTATCTTTGTTCTAAGCCTTCTAGATCACAGTTGCAATCTGGTCTAAACTTTCCTAAACTTGGGCCACAACTTGTATTTTTTCTCTCAAGTGAAATGATCTTATGTTTGATACTCTAAGTTTATGTATGTAGGCATAGGTCATCGAGGGACACAAATAATTAATCTGTCATTTTCCAATAATCTGACCCATGCTTGTTTGGTAAGATTATCCACTTGAATTAATCCACTGGGACAATGCAGTATTTTGTGCAAAGTACACACACACACACACACACACACACACACACACACAGGAACTTTCCACTAGTGACAGAATCTCAACAAGACCACTTCCATAATGAATGCTATAATTAGTAATATTTCAAACTAAACTATTTAACCCAGAAAAAGCAGAAAATAACGAAAAACAAAATCCAACCGGGGAAAATAACAGCTAAAGTAAGTTTAAAGAAAATGCTGAATGTAAACTACTTGACCCTACAACAGAAATACTAGAAAGATAAGAAAGATGAAGAAATTAACAGTTTCCCTGCCCTCTGCTGGCCATAAAACCAACTGCAGCATTTACTAAAGTAATGCATAATAAAATGTCCCTGTTATGAAATCAGATGCTTTTTTTCCTGTGCCAAAATGTCTGTAATAAAAATCCTGATTGCCGTGTGCCAAATTTCAAGACTGTTGGGCTCTTTGTCTTGGTATTTAACTTTTGCATAGGCTATTTTACAATGAAAAATATTTTTTTCTGTTTCATCTTGGTACATTTTAGATCTTTTGCAGTCTAAGCATCAAATTCCAAGACTATTTCATAAGACTACATGTAGATAGATGTCCAAGAAAGAAACTAAGTCAGCTTGTCTCTAAGAAACTACTAAGACATTTAAAACCACTAATTTTTTGTTTACTAAATCCTGTAAATATGCAGGTCCTAAGAGCAGCATTCCACCAAAAATAGTTCATTAGTTTAAAGTATCAGTACAGTTATGTTGACAATATAACTATTTTATATTCCTCAAAGCAAAAGATTTTAAATATTGGTCAATCTTAGAGTGGGAGTGAATTGCATTGATATGAGAACTTGAAATACTAATTCATTTTATGTATATATGTTTATACCCTCCATAGGATTACTAATGAGAAAAATCCAGGGGGAAATGGGTATTTGCTTTGTCTTTTGTTTTTAGTGAAAAATGCGTTATTTCTTCCCAGTTTCAAAGTTCTAAAATACAAACCACATGGTTTGCATTTTGGCACACAACCCCCACCCAAACCTCCATGCAAAAGTGTCTTCTATAAGCACGTATCTAGTCCACAATATGCCCAGAGAAAGTACTGCTCCCCCTTTTGCAGTTTGTTGGAAAAGTAACAGTATTATTGTTTTCAACCAATGAAATGCACCAGATAAGACACACAGAGCCAAAAACCACTTATGTCTTTCAATGCAAAACAATTACAGAGAATACACAACACCATCCTGGAAATTTGCATTTTCTTTTCAGGCCTCCAAGTGTCATTACATACGCCACCCCTCCTGCAAGAACACCGACACACACATCTCTCCAGTCATAAACAGAAGCACTGAGACAATGTCTGTTCTTTCTCTGTAAAAGTTCATATTAGGGACAGACATAGTGCTTAGACTGGATGTCAGCTTGATTAAATTTTGTGCAAAGATTTCCTCTAAGACTCGCCCTTACCTGGCATTTCCAGGTGCCCTCCCTAGCGTCTCATCGGTGGCTCATGGTTGACAGTGGGATATATGTATGTACGTTTTCTGAGGAATCATTGACTACCACTTCCCCCTCAAAGTACACACACACACACACACACACACACACACACACACACACGCCCCACGCAAAATAAAACGAAACCGCTCATCCTAACCAGGAAGTTTTTGTTTCTTCTTGCTTTTCCCTCCAAGTGTCTTTTCCCCATTTCACCTCTTCATGAAGTCTAAATGGGTTTACAAATCTCTGTCACGATCTTTGTTTCTTTACTTTTCATGGCTGCAGGGCAGAAATAGGGAGCGGGCTCCCAGCTCGCGGTGGCCAGCGTCCGGGCTCCTCACCCTGGAGCGCCGCTCCCTCCATGACGCGCACCTGGCTAGGAGCGGTCGCCAGCGCGGAAGGTGTCGCTTCCTGCGGGAGGCAGAGGGACAGGGGAGGGGAGCGCAGGGGTCCGCACGTCCACTGTGGACCTTTCTCCCCAGGCCGGGGCGTATTGCAGAGTTCACCGCGAGGCTTCCTGCGGGAGGCAGAGGCCAGCACTCCTGGTGGAGCCAATGTCAGGGCAACCGGCGAGTCCAGGCCTGTCTAAGAGTCTGACAGGCTGGGAACAATGGGGCCAGGGGTTGATCTCCAGAGGCGCGCCCGCCCCCACCTTTCCCATCTTCTCCCCACCTTTGAACCCTGCCGCCGTAAGCACCCAAGCAAAGCCCGGGCCGCCAGAGGCAGCTAGTAGGCTTCTCCTGGGGAGGGACAAATGGATGCAGAGTTTGCTTCTACTAAGGGCAGATATGCGAAGCCTGGCTGTCTCTACATCCCCCGCCCCCAGTCAACCCTGTGCGCACTGCTCCGTGTGTGTGAGCCCCAAGGAAGAGGCAGCCAGGGCGCAAGCTTCAGAAAGAGGCGCCCACAGCAGTCTGCTCTTGCGCTGGAGCCCGTTCCGGGCCACTTGGAGGAGCAGTGTCACCTCCTGCTGTCCAGGTGAAGCAAGCTAACAGCCTCAAGAAAACACCCAGTTCCCCACACCTTCCTCTAGTCAACCTTCTCGTAGTCTTTTAGAAACTCAAGTTTAACTAAGAAGAGCTGCAATAACTTCGCCAAGGGCAGACAGAAGAAGTGGGGGTGGGCTGAGAAGGGGGAGGAGAGAGAGGTCTTCAGCTACGCACAAAACCAGCAAGCCGAAGGGCATCTTACCTTTGATTCGGTTTCCAGGCTTCCCTTCGGTGAACTGAAGCCCGTCGATTAAAAAGTGGCAAAGTAACATAACTCCTGCAGCGGCCAGGTCGGCCCTCGGAAACCTCGCCATGCCTCTGCCTTTACCTCCCTCCTGCGTCCTGACAGTCCTTCCCCGGCGTCCCAGACTCACAGTGGGGCTGGGGGAGAGGAAGCCAAGCCCTGCGGAAAGGTCTTGGTGGACTCCTGAGGCCTTGAATGTCTCTGGGATTTCACGCCCGAGGACAGCAAGCAGGGAAGGCGAAGGGGAGCGCAGCGCTCTCCGGACCTCCGGATCTTTCTTTGCAACTTACCACCCTCGCAGCCCGCACCCGACACAAAACAGTTACCAGGAGGAAAAGCAGCTCGCATTCAGGGTTCACAAACTCCGGGCTGCACCAGAGCAGCAGAAGCAGCGTCGCCCGGGTACCCGCAATCGGTGACTTCCGAGTCCCCGCGCTGCGCTCCGCTGAGTTCAAAACAAATCTAATTCCACAGCTGTCGCTGGTGCCACCTCCAAATCGAAGAGGGCTGCGGGCTCCGGAGGAACTTTCCCCTGTCTTGAGAGAGCCCCGCGGGAGGTTGGATTGGCTGGAAATTGAGTGACTGCGGGCTGCTGGCAAAACCCCTCCGACAAGTTGTTTTTTTTTTTTTTTTTTTTCTTTTTTTTTTTCTTTGCTTTGCCCAGTGCTGGGCACGCGTCCTCTCCGGCCGCCGGAGCGACGGGCAACGCCGGGAAGCTGAGCCCTGGGAAGGTCCGGGCTGCTGCAGCCTGAGGTCCGAAGCCAGAGGGAGGGAAATGTGTTTGTAGAAAGACCGAGAGAGGAAGATCCAAAATAAAGAAAAGGGGGTGGGGGAGTCAGGCTGGAAGCTCTGGAGAGGGCTCCTCCTGGTGAGCAGGAGGAGGTGGCCCCAAGCCCCCGCTGAGCCCAGGAGTTTGGTGGCGGAGGAGGCGCCACCGCCGAGCTCTCTCGCGCTCCAGCTCCGCACTTCGGGGAGGGAAGGCCGCTCGCAATTTGCCAGATCTGCGGCTGCACCTCCTCCCTCCTCCCTGTGCCCTCCCCCTCGCTCCTCCGGGCTTCTCCCACCTTCCTCCCCGAAACCGGCAGCTCGCACCGACCTGTCCAATGGCTGCACTTTCCTCGGGGCTGGCAGAAGAGTCACCGTCAGATGAAGACTAGGAAGCGAAGCCAGGGGGAGCGAGAGGGCAACCCCGGCCGCGCGCGGTCCCAGAGCGCCACCTCTGAGTCGAGGGGGCGCCATCCGCGCGTCCGGCTCGCGCTCTCTGCACCCACCTGGCTCTCGGGCCATATCGGTGCCAGCCTGGGATCTTCCAGGGCTCTGGAGGGTTTAAAGACAGTGCGCCTTTCCGAGAGGGTTTGTCTGCGGCGGTTGGGGTGTGAAGGAAGCCAACCGGAGCCTGTGGGGCTGCAGACCCCAGGTCCGCGCGCTGGGCGATGGGAAGTGGCTTGCCGCGCCGTAGTCCAGCTGCTGATGCGGCTACCCCGGCTTTGTGGAGTAGCAGCCCGAGCGAAAGCGAGAGTTTAAAGGAACAGGAGGCCTATTGAGTTTCCTATGGGGGCTTTGACCGGCTTTCCCAAGCTAGGTTTTTGTTTTTGTTTTTTTTTTCCTTTTCTTTTCTTTCTTTCTTTCTTTCTTCTTTCTTTCTTTCTTTCTTTCTTTCTTTCTTTCTTTCTTTCTTTTTTTTCAACTCTGGGGTTTGCCCCAGTATTAACCCATTGGGGCCCTCTCTTTAGCTTACCTCCTATTTTGCATACAGTTAACTTAATTTTAAAGAGATACAGAAGCAGCCACGTCTAGTTATGAAAAAGTGAATGTTCTAGAGCCAGTAGGCCTGAGTAGAGTGTCCCTTCTCCAGAAGGCTTATCTCTTAGCCTTGGATTCCCCAGCGTCCAAGGGGAAGGTTCTGTAGGGAGAGATGCTCTTACAGAGTCCTAGCAATGGATGAGAGGAGTTAATACTGCGGCATTAATTGAACCTTTCCTCGCATAAAGTAAGTGGCTCTGAGTTTCTTGAGGAAAGGGGTAGACCAAAACTGAATAATACTTTGCCCTTGTTTTGGGTTCAAAAGTTCCTCTTACCCTACTTTGTTCAAGTCATTTCATGATTTGGAGAGCTTATGAATGCCAACATAAGGTATATATGGTTTGTCACAAAACTCAGTAAAATTGGATTCAGATAATCAATCAATTGTGCAAATCTGATACTAAAGGAAAGTCTCTCACCTGAAACAGAAATATAACATGCTTTCCCTAATAAGAGACTCGGTTTGCTTTTTATTTCATACCATATACACATAAACGCATGGGTGTGCCATGCCTGCATCCTTCTTAGGTCAAGACCTTTGCTCGCTCAGGAACTTACTGAGGAAACTTAGCTTCTTTGTCTGCATAATCACATATTCTGGGGAACTATGTAATGTTACAATAGCATTTGAATAGCTAGACTACTTCCCTGTTGAGTAAGTTCAAAGGCTGAACCTTCTAATCAAAAGTTGGTTGTATGATAACTGATGCTGCTTTTTACCTCTCCATCCCCAGTGAGGTCCCTACTTCCAGGATCCATGTATAAAGCTCTCTAAATCCTTCTGTAGAAATCCAGTTCTCACAATAGGCAAAATTATGGCAAACCTAGTAAGAATCATCTCAAAAAAGTACCTTTTTAACCATGTGAGTTACCCTGTTTCATAACAGAGAAATGGGGGAAATTGTTTTCTTTGAGAAGAATCAAGGCCTCACCTCTTCTTATTATCACTTTCTTTCCTTTCTCTTCATTATTGTACTGCAGATCTGCAGTTTTAATTTTCTTGTTTGTTGGCAGCAATGTTTTGCCTTCCTGAGGCTATATATCTTTATGTATGGAAAACTTGCCAAAAATTGGAAAAGAACCTAATGGTAATTCCAAAACAGTCTGAGCAGGCTTGTATTTGTTGGTTTCTCTCTGTGCTGCTTGAATGCATTGTTTTGTCTTAGCTTTATTTTACTGTGAAGAATTACATGTAATGAAAAATATATATATAACTGAAGAAACACTTACGTTGCATATAAGTGCAGAAGTCAATCATGATTGATGCTGTCATGATCAAAACTAAGAAAGTATTCACTGTGATGCCTTGCCTTACATGTCAATCAATAATTATTTATAAACATTTACTTTTCATTTACACTGTAGCAAGTAACAAAGAAAGAAAAGGTATGTAAAGAACATGTTCGACATGAAATGGAATTGGCTGCTCATATAATGACAGTTAATTAAAAGTTCATATATTTTGGCTAAATCGAGTCTGCTATGTACATTTTCACCATGCACTCACTTTCATAGTGATAAATTAAGAGGTTTTTGTGAGAAAAGTTTCATCCCCTTTCATCTGACGTGAGAGAGGTGCTCTAATGCATGGCTATGTTTGCTATACACACATAAAAGGAAAGGTTCTTTTACTCATTGGCTTAACTTGAGTAAGTGAATCAGGACTTGTCAAAGAGTTATACTTGCTCTTTGTCCAAAATAAAGGTCTAGAATTCATAAGACACTATTCTTTCAGATCAAACAGCAGAATCATTCTTAACAACACAGAACTTTAAGCAAATAATAGACCTGGGCTATTATCTCTTCAGACCTCAAATCTGTTTGCAATTTCTTATCTCCACAACCTTCAGAAAGCTTTTTCCACATCCAGGTGCAATTATATCTGTATAAAGGTACTTGCAATTAACTCTCTCATCCCACCTCCTACTGTTAACAATGTTGTGCTTCCTAGGAGCTATCCCAAATTGAAACTTGGCTAACAAAATGCTTACGAAAATAGTATGCTTGCTGGGGGGAGAAAATGAGAAACAATGTGAACTGTGCAGTGCTCTGCACTTAGTAAAGTCCTTTTGAAAAAAATCTTATTTCAGAAAATAGTTTCTGTTCCTATTAACAGTATTTATTCCAACTTTGTACAATTGCTGTCAGATGAAGGGGCATTGCTATTAGTGAGCTGCCGTAGTGCAGTCTTAATATTATGACCTTGCCTCTAGGTCTCTAGCATTTCTTCTCCCTGCTCGTTTGATAGGGCTAATTTTTTGACCTCTGCTATGCAATTCCAAGACTCATTTGTTCATCTTGGCTGACCTGCTCTCAGCACCAGCAGAGATTTTATTGTACTCTTGATAGCTCTTTTAGCTTTTTATTTTTTTATTTTATGTAGAAAAATTATGGGGTAGTATATTTTGAATCAAATGAGCATAAAAAATTCCTCCTACCTGTTCATATCAGAGTTTCTTACAATAACATTTAACATTCAATAACATTTACCTGCTTTTGGCCACATAGCAATACTACATGTACTATTTAGATGAAATTCAAAAAAATTACCTTTTAGCTATTTGTAATGAAATAGAGTACTGTACCAAAATGGATTTCATTTAATAGGCTTCTTTTTGAATGTTAATAAACTAAGACATTTTTGACCAGTAAATTGTAAAGCACAAATGCAGCAACTTGAAATAGTAGAAAGAGAAATTAATGAAGTGGAATAGTATGCTATTAAAAATGATGGAGACATTATCTTCTTACATTTCCTTTTAAATAGCAACAATGTACAGGAGAAACAAAGCCCTTTTGCCCAAAATTAGTGGACTCAAAGACAAGTTAAACTCTTCTACTTTGGGGGGAAGAGGGGAACATGGGCAAGGGCTCAGCAAGCACTTAGTGAACTCAAAAATTAAAGAAATGTGCTCAAGCATATGCGGCACAAGGAAAAGACTGAAATGTTTATCATGGATGACACAGTTGTCCACATTTTTGTGAACTGATAAAAATATCAGAGCCCGAAGTAAAAAGTAACTGAAGAGAATTGTACTTCTGAAAAGCGGAGACCCTGGTGGGAGCTGTCACTCCTGCAGTGGATCCCAAGGCTTCTGGCCGCTAAAATGCTCCATCACATAGGCACATATACTGCCCGCTCTCAGGCTTCCTGGCCTACACTGTATTTCTTCTCTCATCTTGTGTTCACCTTCTTTTCTTTTGTCCCAAATTTCCTTGTCTACTTCCATCTCTACAAATGTTTTATTGAGATACAGTTCATTTGCTAGGTTTTAATATGTGTACAAGGTGACTGAACCAAAATTACTGTCTAATTCAGAACATTTTCATCATCCCTACAAAGAGCACCATAATCACTAATAGTCATTCCCCATCGTCCCCTTTCCCTAGACCCTGAGAACACTGATCTACTTTCCTTCTCTGTGGATTTGGTGATTCTAAGTATCTCTAATCTCATATAAATGCAATCACATAATATATGGCCTTTCATATGTGAATTCTGCTTAGTGTAATATTTTCAGGGTTAGGGTGTGTTATTCAATGTAATCCAAAGTATGGGACTTTCAGTTTCTCCTTATTCTTATCAGAACTTAATAGTTTCCTTTAAAGAAATTATAGACATCCTGATTGGTATGGTTTCTTACCATAATTTTGATTTACATTTTCCCTGATAAATTTTATGTCTTTAGATAACATTACCTAATAGCAATTGTAAACACCTTCTTGTGGTTTTGATTGACCATTTCTACGTCTTTGGAGAATAGGTCTTTCCCCTTGTTAATTGGGTTGTCTTTTCATTGTTGAGCTGTAAGAGCTCAATAAATACTACAGGTGGTAGACCTTTATCCCATATGAATTCCAAAAATTTTTCTGCACTATGTGAGTTGTCTTCTCACCTTCTCAGTGCTATTCTTTGATCACATTTTTTCTATAATTTTATTGAGAAATAAACAGCTATGAAACAGTTTCAAATCAAATTGTTAGGACAGTTCCAATAATTAACACATTGCATACTCTCTTCCTAGTGGTTATTTGTTGTACAAGATGCAGACATGATATCTTATTTGCAAACACTATTAGAAAAAAAAAATCCTTCTATTCATTGAATTAAGAGAATGTAGCTATATACCTATCCTAACCATTTTGAATACACAGATACAAAATGATCAT